GGGGCCCCCCTGGGGGCCCCCATGAGGGGCCCCCTGGGGGCCCCCATGAGGGGCCCCTTGAGGGGCCCCCCGGGGGGCCCCCCGAGGACTCTGGGGGCCCCCTGTATCTGTTTTGGGGAGTTCCTGTTGTGGATAAAATGAATTGGTTGGATTTAAATAAAATTGGATTTGAAAAAGTGACTCGGGAAAGTGGAGGGCTTGGAGGTGTCTGTACACCTGAGAACTAGTTTAGTTGGTTTATTTTATTTTTGGTTTGTTTTCGTTGGTGTGGTTTTATTTTATTTTATTTTGTTTTATTTTGTTTTCCCTTATTTTATTTTTGTTTAATTTAATTTAATTTAATTTAATTTAGTTTAATTTGATTTGATTTGATTTGGTTTGATTTGATTTTGTTTTATTTTATTTTATTTTATTGCAGAAAAAGGACCCAAATATCTTATTTATTTATTTTTTCATTTTTTCAAATTTTAATTTTATTTTCTTCCTTTTTCAAATTTTTATTTCTTTTTTCAGTTTTATTTTCTTTCTTTTGTACTTGATTTTATTTTTGTTTTTTAGTTTTCTCTTATTTTTATTTTTTTCATTTTCTGTTTTCATGTTCCCTGTAAGTGGCCTCATTTCCTATTTTTGTTTACTTATTATTTATTTGTTATTTATTTATTATTCATTTATTATTTAGTATTTACAATTTATTTACTATTTATTATTTATTTACTATTTATTAATAGTAACTATTTATTGTTCATTTATTGTTTATTAATTGTTTATTTTTTGTCAACTTTTTCTTGCTATTTACTTATTCATTTATTGATTTGTTTAATTAATAATTTAGTTATTTTTTTGCTTTTTGTTATACCTGCATTGTCTAACTGGAAATTATTTATTTATTTATTTATTTATTTATTTATTTATTTATTTATTTACTTGTTTAATTTTTTAATTACTCACAATTCAAGTATTATTCTGCATTTAGTATTAACTGTTTGCTATTTATTACTTATTACTTATTATTTATTATTTATTATTTATTATTTATTGTTTATTATCTATTTTTTATTATCTATTTCTTATTATTGTTTATTACTTATTATTTATTTACTTCTTTATCTCTTCACATCTTTATTCATTTACCTGATCCTCTATTCATTTATTTATTTTCTATTTATTTATTTTCTGTTTATTTGTAATTATTTATTTATTATTTTTAATTTTTTTAGTAACTAATTATTTATTTATTCATTCATTTATTAATTATTGATTAATTTAATTAATCATTAAATGAATTAATTAATCAATTTATTAATTTATTTATTTGTTTATTTGCTTATTTATTTTTTTAATTTATTTTTCAGACGCCATATTTGATCCTTCTTTATGGGACAAAAATTTATTTGATGAAAATGGAAATCCCAAAAAGCCCCTCGACACAAATGCCTGGTGGTTGCCCTTTGTCCAGCCCCCAGGCAAACCCTAAACCCTAAACCCTAAACCCTAAAGCCTAAACCCTAAACCCTAAACTCTAGATCGTACACTCTGAACTCTAGGGGTTCTGGCGTTGGCTTTTGCTAGAGATCCTGGTCAGGGAAGCTCTACTTTGAGTGCTGCATTGCAAACCCTAAACCCTAAACCCTAAACGCTAAACCCTAAACCCTAAACCCCAATTTGGTGTTGCTGCAGGCACTGGAGAAAGACATGTGGTCAACAGCTCGCCTTATTTGCTGACAGTGAAAACTAAAGAAAGAGGAAGAACTGATTTGGCCGGAGACTGCGCTGGACTGAATGTGAGGGTTTAGGGTTTAGGGTCTAGGGTTTAGCGTTTAGGGTTTAGGGTTTAAGGTTTAGGGTTTGCAGCGCGTGGCTGACGCTATCGCTTTCCCCCCCCTTCCCGTCCCGAGCTGACTCAAAGCAGCAGCAGCAGCAGCAGCAGTAGCAGCAGCAGGAAGTGGTTGTTGTAGGAGATGCAAACCCTTTTTTGTGGTTTGCGTCTGGTGTCTGTACACCTCAGATCCACGGGCCCCTTGTGGTGTCTGTCCAGACACCCCAAGGCCGCGCCTTCGGTCTTCGCCAAAGTGTGGGGCCCCACACTTTCGGGGTTTTCGTTGGAGTTCGCCTCAGGGACTACAGTGCGCTGCACTTCACAGCTAGCTAGCTAGCTAGCTAGCTAGCTGGCTAGCTGGCTAGCTAGCTGGCTGGATGTGTAGCTAGGTAGCTAGCTGGCTGGCTGGCTGGCTGGCTAGCGGGCTTTCTGGATGTGTAGCTAGCTAGCTAGCTAGCTGGATAGCTAGCTAGCTAGTTGCTGGATATGTAGCTAGCTAGCTAGCTTGCTGGATATGTAGCAAGCTACCTGGCTAGCCAGCTAGCTAGCTAGCTGGGTCCCTTGATATATAGCTGGATAGCTAGCTGGCAAGCTAGA